GGCGCTGTAATCCACGTTCTCCCACTCTGTGTTGAAGCCTCAAGGACAGATGGTCTTATCCCAGTCTGCATGTATGTGATCACAGGGACCGTGTGTTTTCCTGTGCCCAGGTGTGGGCTTCAGCCGATGTGGTCAGAGCCTCTGCCCACCATTGAACACCCTCCCCGGCTCATTGATTAACCTCAGCGAGAAAAGCACAGGGAGGAGGGGTTGAGGGGCTGGCTCAGGGCTTCCTGGAGTGGCCGTGGCTGCACAGCCTGCAGTGTCCAGCTGGTGATCCCAGAAGCCTTTCCCAGATCTCATCCAGCAGCCAGCTGGCCTTTCCTCCTGTAAAATCCAATGTGCTATGTTAAAGACAGAGATTGGGAGGATGGTGGTTCAAGGCCAACCCTGGCAAACCGTTTGAGACCCCTACACAGCAAGTACAAAGAGGAGGCTCACAGTCCAGGCCTTCCCAGACATGAAGTGAGACCCCGTGTCAAGACTAAAGGGGCCGGGGTGTGGCTCAAGTGGTAGAGCACCTGCCTACAGCACAAGGCCCTGAGTTCTAACTCCAGTCCTCGGGGCAGGGGGCAGGGACCCTGTTGTTTCCTAGGTTGGGTGACTGCAAGCAAGCACACTGGTGTCTTCTCAGCACTCCTGCCCGTCAGGGCCACTCGGTGCCCGGCTTTGGGGAGGCTGCAGCCCAGGGATTTGCGAGTTGGGCGGAGGCAGCTGCAGATGTGTGCAGCTGGCCACTGTCCAGTGGGACGTCACGTGGGTGACAGGGTTGTGAGACATCACGGTGGCCTGTGTCCTGGACAGCCCTGGGCAGGTGGGCCTGTAGTGGGTCCAGGCGGCCGCCAATGGGGCTGAGAGGGGTGTTGGGCACAGGCTCAGAGGGGCGGAGACCCCTCCCCGTTAGGAGGAGGCTGAGGGTTGGTTACTTAGGAGTCTGAGGTTACAAATCACAACGAAAGGCTCAGTGTTTGCTTTGGACACTGTGGCAGAAGCCAGCGCTTCCTGCTTCTTTTCTGGAAATCATCCAGAAATAACAAGAAGAGTGAGAATCAAAATGGCAAACTTACATTTTGGCAAAACAGAGATAGAGATGAGCCCAAGCCACAAGCAGGAGGCAGGTGGCCAGCAGCGGGGGAGATGCACGGAGTGCGAGGACGTGCGTGCAGCCAGGACAAGCCGGGGCGAACTCCTGAAAGGGGCCACCTGGGTCCCGAGCCTGCGTCCGTGGGGGCCGGCGTGGGCCAGGTGGAGCCGTGTCCACATGCTGTCGCATGGCTCGCAGGAAGTAGGGGCTGCTGGGGTCCCACGCATGCTGTGCTCTGAGGAGAGCGTGTGCTGTCGCTGAAGCGGTGCCTGTGATCAAACCTGCAGCACAACTGTCCGGTTGGATCAGAGGGACGGAAGCGGTGACCTCCGGCAGAGGATCTGACGAAAGTCACCTTGTGTGGGATGATAAAAGTCTCATTGCGCACGTGAGCAGAGCAGAGAAGCAGGGAGACCAGGCAGAGAAGTCACAGAAAACGCAGCTAGCTGGCCGTGAGTGGCTGGGGCCTGTACCCATGGCAGTCAGCGTCCGGTGGAATCCCAAGGGGACCCTGCAGGGACCTCGAGAAGCAGCAGCGACACAGGGAAGGCAGAACAGCCGGAGAGACAGTGGGGGGAAGGAAGAAGGATTGGGGCGCACACGGAACGGAGGCAACTTCTAGGCCTGAGAGCTCGTCACCTGACTGGAAGATGAAGCTCTCGTGGGAGTCAGGGAAATAGGAAAAGGCCACATGTCCTGGCAATGTGGGACTTCACGCTTAACAGGATGACGTAGAAGAGGGGACAGAGCAGAGAAGGGGTCTCCTCGACAGCCGACGATGAAAACACCTGTAAAGATGGCGTTGAGTTGCAAGTGTAGTGAACTGTGTCTTGGCGCTTTCCAGAGGAACAGAGCCAAGAGGGTCCGTCTGTCCATCTGTCTACCTAGAGAGATGGAGTGATCGACTATGAGGGGTTGGCTGACGTGATCATGGAGGCTGGAAGTCCCATGGATGCAAGCTGGAGACCTGGGGGAGGGAAGGGGGGAGGGGGGAGGTGCCCGCTCAGGCACGAAGGAGGAATGCTCACCTCCTCTTTGCTCTGTGTGGCCCAACAGGGCGGATGGATGGTGCGTCCACGTTGCGGAGGGGAGTCTCTCCTGGGTCACTGTTCAAACGCTGAGCTGCTAGTCACCTCACGGACACACGGAGACACGGCAGATGGACAGGTGGAGCTGGCTGTCACAGGCTGTATAAAGGTAGAGCGAGGAGGGTGACATTGACTAGCTAGACACGCAGGACCTGCCGTCGGCACCCTCGGACCCAGGCGAGTAACGGGCACAACATAAAGCTGAGCGTTACAAATGCAGCCGGAGCAAAAAGTGCGAACTCCTCAATGTCCAGAGCCAGGTCGAAAGGCCGCAGAACGGTCCGGCTTTAAAAGCCATCAGACAGCGTCAAGATGTAAATGGCTCAAGTCTCCCGCTGAAAGAGAAGGACTTCTTGACTAGTCACCTAGCAGACCACAGTCGTTGTTCCAGGCCACCAGGTGGTCACACCCAGAGGCCAGGGTTGTCTCCACCCCAGGCGTGCCAGATCCAAGCCAGGGAGCACTGCAGAAAATGGCAGATGCCCTCCTGAGCCCTGAAGGTGCAGACGGACAGACGTCTGGGTGGCGTGTGGCAGAGCAAAGTGGTGATCGTCAGGAGCGCGGACATCATAGCAAGGCAGGGAACGGCTGGAGGCCAGCCAGTGCCGATGGTGACACAGCGCCCGTGTGCGCTGTCCTCAAACGAGAGATCGCACGACTTACAAAGGGCTTAGGAGAACGCCCAGGGCAATCATCTGTTAGGTAATAAAAATTCTTCTTCGGCCTTTATAAACGTTCATAAGTGGACCAGAGGACTGACTGCAGTGTGATGAAACTTGAGATTAGGAACAAAACCAGAAAGAGAGCGCCTAAGGCTTAGAATCCAAAACAGCGACAAACGGGACGAAACAATCGCAGTAAACAGTTCCTGGTTTGAGCGAGATGCTGTGGGAAAGTGGGTGAGACCTAGGAAACAGTTGTAGTTTTTACAACAGTGTGCCGTTAGTGTTTTGCCAGTATAGAAAATACTCCTCGTGAGAACCAGGACAAACATCTGAATTCTGGGCTTAAATAAGTATCCCATGGACTGACCCCAGCTGTCAGCATCAGGGGCAAAGAAGCAGCCCCAGGAGGACAAGAGTTGGGAGTCTCCAGAGGTCACAGCCGAGGCTCATAAGAGCAAGAAATGGTAGTGAGTGAGTCCACATGCCATTCTTTGAACTGAAGCCATTAAAATAGACAAATTAGTCACAATTCTGGTAAAAAAAAATTAATAGACAATGTCACCACCCAAAATGAGCCAGGCACCAGTGGCTCACCCTGTAATCCCAGCTACTCAGAAGTCAGAGATCAGGAGAACCATTTGAAGCCAGCCTGGGCAAATAATAGTTCTTGAGATCCGATCTTCAGAAAAACCCATCACAAAAAGTGGCTGGTAGAGGAGGTCAGTTGGTAGAGGCCTGCCTAGCAAGTGTGAGGCCCTGAGTTCAAACCCCAGTGCTGTTCCCCAAAGAAACCAGAGAAGCAGGACTGATTGCGGTGGAGCTGGGCAGGCGTGGGAGAGCCTTGGGGTGCTGAGGTCTCGGCTGTGTTGGGAGTGGGATGTGCAGAGCAGCTCTGGGGCTGTTCACCCGGGACCAGGCCTCGCAATGTCTGTCACGCTGCACAGTGATCTGAACGACTGCTGAAAGATGTGTGAAAGAACTGTGGCTGCTGCGGGAGTTCTGTGACAGTTCAAAGCCCTTCACAGCTCCTGGTAACCAAGCTCCATCCGCCGAGTGAGGGCCACACTTCGCTGGAAAACTTAACCTGCACCGACTGCAGAAGGGGGGGCCTTGCTGCCCTCCCCAGTACAGGCACCAGAAGTGAGTCCAGCAGGGCCAGTTCCCCGGGCCATTTCCCACACTCAAAGCCCAGTGCCTGTCCCCACTGTGTCACGGGGCGGGGGGGGTCGTTCAGAAATGAGAAAGTCCAGGCCTGTGTGCACGCCAGTGGGTGTCAGGACTGGTGTGTGAACGATGAAAACAGCAGTTAACATAAACCATCCTGGTCGATCTTCTGCGGCTGTCACAGGCCTTTTGAGGCTGGGTACTTTATAGTGAATAGAAAGTTACTTGGCTCATGGTTCTGACAGCTATAAAGTCCCAAGGTCAAGGGACCATATTCAGCAGGGGCATGGGGGCCTGGGGGGCCGGGCTGAGGAGCGGCCAGAGCCTCGTCTGCAGGAGTGACACAGGACCTCCGTGCTACTTCCCGGTGGCCAGCATTGGGGTCTCCTTGTCCGTGAGTCTTGTCTGCTGGGAGCAGGGCACCTGTGGACCTCATAGGAGCAGACTTTAGCTCTTGGGAAGCCCCTCGTCCAGCTGTGGCGGCCTATCCCCAGTTCTGTTGACTGTGCCGTTTCTGAGCTCTGTGCCCTGGTCTCCTGGCCTGTGGTCTGTCCAGCTCCCCTTCCGCTGCCCTGAGCCCGTCCACCAGGTGTGCCAGAGCAGGTAGCCACACACTTTCTCCTACCGTGATGTGTAAACACTGAGATCACAGCTGGGAGAATTGAGAACAGGTTCCTTCCCTGACCTGGGAAGGGCATGCCCAAAGTGACCGTGTGTCTCTGTGGCCACGCTGCAAACAGGAGTGGCTTAGGAGAGAGAGGGCTGTTTGCAATCTCGAATGCTTCGTGGCCACAGCTCTAGGCTGCTGGGGTTCCCAGGCAGCAGCCCTCCTCCCCAGCTTCCCGGCATGGTGGGGATCCTGCCCAGACAAATGCAGATACTGCCTCTGGGACTTCCAGGTAGGGGGTGGGGGGGGGTGAGGGACGGCACCTGGGCCATGGGCTCTGGGCCGGGCTACACAGCCCTGTCTGCTGACCCTGGCCCTGTGTTTCCCCACAGCTGGAGATGGAGCTGAAGATGCTGAAGTCCCAGCCGAGCTGCGCCGAGCCCAGCTTTCCGTTCTGCAGGGAGGAGGTGGACTCGCTCAGGTATGACCCCCACACCTCACCTTGTTCTCCCAGCAGCCCACGGACCCCTTCCTCCCTGCGTTCTGGAAGGTGTTTTCTTTCTCAGTCACATTCTGTCTGCCTAGGTTCCTCTGTGCAGACACACGTGTCTCTACTGGGCTGGGTTTCTCCAGTGTCCTTCCCTTGGCCAGCCCTGACAGCTGTCCTCTCAGCACGTATTGGTGCTCTCAGGAAGTGCAGACGCTCCTGTCAGGGCGTCCGAGGGGACCTGCCTCTGTTGCCAGCAGCATGAAGTAACAGCCCCCCCACCTCCCCACCGCCTGCATGCCAGCAGCCCGCTGAGGGACCCGTGGGCAGCGGTGTGTGAGGGGTGCAGACAAGCGTCTTGCAGGAGTTACAGAAGCAGCAGCTAGCCAGGCGTGCACCCAGGGTGTCAGTGGGCACCTCCGTCCGTGTTTGGAGGCGCGCTCCCTGCTCCAGAGCCCTGCATGCTCCTCTTAGCGTGTTCCTCGCCTCTGTTGCCCAGCCCCCCTGCCTTCTTAGTAAGGCCTTGGATGGTGCTGGTCCCAAGGCCTGTCTCCGTTCACCCACAGATGGGACATCCTGGCAGCATGGGTCAGGGTTCTTGCAGCCCCTTCTGGCACCCATGTTGGCCATGCCATCCAGCATCTGACTGAAGCGGGTGTGGGCAGGCTGTCACCATCCTCCTGGCATCCTGGGGGAGGCAGCCACTGGGATGCATAGTGACAGTTGCAGAGCACTGGAGCCCTGCAGGGCCCACTCTGCCCAAAGGGTCTGCCCTGGCCAGCTGCTGGGCTCCCAGGGCTCTGCACCCTGAATGCTGGTGGGTGGGAGGAGATGGGGCCTGGGACCAGGTGCTGCATGGCCTGTTGTGGAGCTGGGGTGGAGCGGCCTTCCTGGGCTGGGTGGCTGAGGCCTCAACACAGGGATGAGTCCTGTCCCCATTGCTGGGATGGCTTCTGCTCTGTCACTCTCTCCTGGGGCCTGTCCCTTCATGGGTGAAGGCTGGGCGAGTCCTGCTTTGCAGAGCTGTTGAGATAAAAGCCAGGAAACACACAAGATGTCACTTCACCCAGCGGCCCAGGAAGCGTTTGTTGAAGGACAGTGACTAACTGGGAAGTGCCCTTCTCAGCTGGAGGCCCCTCGTTTCCAGAGGCACAGACTGAGGCCTCAAAACGGGCCTCCAGGGACGCACTGGCTCCTTGGTTGTGTGTGTCCGCTCCGGTGTCGCGGGCACCGTCGGCTGAGCACGAGGGTGATGGAGTGGCGAGTTTAGACGACCGCATGCTTCACCTTTACCAGTTTCCTGGTTTAATGGTGACGTGGGGGACGTTATTCATGGGGAATCCGGCTCTGTGGTTACAGACGGAGAGGAGCACAGTGTGCAGGAGAGCAAGCGCCTGGGGCCGGGCTCCCGGGGTGTGCGTCTGTGGGAGCTGCATGTTGACAGGGTGGGGTGACCGTGGCAGGGGGGCTGGAGGCATAGCCTGGGCTGGGATTTTGGTCTTTATTCTGCAAGCACTCGGAAGCCATTAGATGTTTTAAAGTAGAAAAGTGACATGGTCCGGTCCAATTGTGCTGTCCGCGTCTCTGGCCTCCAGGGCGGGAAGGAGGAGCTTAGCACGGATGGGCAGCTGTCCCCTGGCCAAGCGTTGGACAAGGCTTTGTGTGAACCATCCATCCAAGCTAGGCAGAGAACAGCAAAATGCCCCCACACAGACCCGACGCGAGTGCCACGTCTGTAATAAGGACTCTTACACCATGGAGGGGTGGCCGGGGGTCAGACAGAAGGAGGAGTGCGAGTGAGGTTCGTGGGTACCTGAAGAAGGGCCTTCCTTAGGCAAGGGCTGAGCCCTGAGTTCAAACCCCAGTACCACCAGCCAAAATAAGAGGGGCCTTGCAGGCGGGTTCTGAGCTTGTGCGGCCCAGGACAGTGAAGGCAGAATGAGCCTCTCCTCACATCTTCTGCAAGAGGTGCCGTCCATGGAGGGGCCTGCAGCAGTCCTGGGGCCAGCGGGGTTGGTGTCCCCGCCTCTGAGCCCCGAATGCTGCACGAGGCAGGTGGTCCCCAGCCCCTGAGCAAGGATTGGGCTTGGATGGTGGCAGGTGCAGCTTTCAGGGCCTCAGCAGTCTCTCGCACACCCACTCGCTCTGCCAGGCCTCTCGGGGCCTCCAGTCTGTCTCGATGGTTGACAGAACCACGGTCAGGTGCATGTCAGATTTCTGGGCTGGCACACTTTGTGTTCATTTATTTTTAAAACTTTAAAAGCAGACTTTATCACTGACAACTTTCACACCAAGACCAAAGCTTTATTGCCACCATCTCCAAGAATGCAGCTATGGGACGGAGGGCCTGTGACTGCTGACCAGAACAGGTCACCGTACACTGGAGGCCGTGCTGGACACACTGCCGCCACCTCAGCTCTCCAGTGTGTCCTCTGCTGGCCGCAGAGCAGCTGAGGGTGAGATGGCTCCATGCAGGTACTGCTCCCCAGGCGGCCTCTGTGTCCTGGACTCCCTTGGAACACATGGTGAAAAACAAGGACGTGTAGAGCTCCCCAGCTGCTCAGGGCCAAGATGGCTCCAGCCAGCCAGGCACTCAGAAGCCCCTGCCTGTCCCGGCTGTGACACAGTCCCTTTACTCCCGTGCCCGGCGAGGCCTGGCTGTCCAACAGGACTGTAGCTGTCAGCAGGGATGGCCTGCCCTGCTGGCACTGCTCCCCCTCCGCAACAGTGGCAGGCTCGTGTTGGAGTCACGTGTAGCGTGCATGAGGTAGCTGTCACCTGGTGGGTTCGGGACATCTAGCATGTCCGTATTTGTATCTCGCTGCTGCCATGAACAAGGTGAATGTCTCAGTACTGCACCTTGCTGTTCCTGGGCCCCTACCCTGGGACACACCAGGCAGCCGTCCTGGCTCAGATAGTCAAGGAGACACTCAGCCAGCTGAAGGTGGCACCAAGCAGCCGTGACTCCAGCCCCCCGACGCGGCTGCTGCAGGTCTCTGGGGGAGGCCGGCAGTGTCTGGCCGGGGCGGGAAGGCCGCTTCTCCTCACCCCTCCCGGGCGCCAGGAAACACGCCGACCCGGAGCAGCTTCTGAAGTGGCTGCTTCAGCGGAAGATGGCGCAGACACGGGAGCCCTCCATCGGTCAGCTCGCCCTTAACCCGTGACCGTGACCGTGACCGTGGCCACGGCCTGTAGCAGCCACCGAGGAGCTGGTGGGCTGGGATCGGGGCCCGCAGCCTGGGAACTGTGAGGGCCGGGTTGGGGGGGGCTCTCACGCGTGCCCACGTTCATGGATGTGCTCATTGCGCACGGGAAGGTGGACAGACGCACCCTGTCTGAGCTCCCCATACCCAGCACACTGCAGCAAAAGGCGGGGGAGGCGTCCGGGTGGACCTCGGTGGCAGCAGCTTAAGGTCCTTTCGGCTGTCAGATAGCAACTCTGGCAAACCCTGAGCGTTGTCTGTGGATTTAGTGAGTGGATAGACTTTCAGTAATCCCAAGCGGGAATGTTGGTGCCACAGCCTTTTGTCCCTAGCCAGGCTCACCACCTGCTGGCCCAGCCAGCGTCCCCAGGCTCTGGGGGCCAAGTGTTACCTGGGCTGGGAGTACTGGGGACATTGGGGCAGTGTGGCGCTGTGCAATCCCCTCGCTCCCCGTCTGGGTTTTGGGAGTGGGCTCTGAGCAGCTGGCTGGAAGCTGTCGTCTGGGGGGATTTGGCGCTGGGCATCAGCAGGTGACCCTCAGTAGGGTCTCCGGTCTCTTCTCTTGGCCCTGCATGGCCCTGCATGGCCCTGGACACTCAGGCAGGTGAGGACAGTAGCTGGGGAGGGCGAGCCCTGGAGGCCCCGGGTCACAGTGGAACTCCAGACCCCGCTAGAGCGGGTGGCCCAGTCTGGTCCTGCCCTGCTCAAGGGCTGTCCTCGGCCCAGAGACCTGCCTTCTCTCATGCAAAAGAGCCTCTAGGTCCCTGCAGAGGGGGGGTGTGCCCAGCAGGTCCTCAATGTCCAGTTCTAACCATTGGGCTGCCCTGCTCCTCCCACACATGTGGACCTGGACTTGCGTGGCACCCCGAGGGAGGAGGGCCCTGTGAGGTGGAGGCAGGTAGCTTGCTGGGGACACTGGGGCTGAGGACAGCTTGGAGGTGGTCCCCTTAGTCCCTGTACTGCAACATGTCCTAGACAAGGAGAGCTAAACCTCAGATCCAGGAGCAGCCGCAGACAGACAGGCCTCCAAGGAAGCTGTGCCGCAGACACAGGGATGAGGCAGCCTGGCAACAGGGCCTCCTCAACCGTCTGCTCGGCTCACCACTGCCCAGGAAGGAGCGGGAGCGGCAAGAGCTCGGCTGCTCACCGCCGAGGGGCCTGTGCCAGCAGGTCAGTCGTGCTAACAGGCCTGGCCGCGGCCCCTCCCAAGAGGCAGGTCCTGCTGCCATCATGTCCGGCCTGGCAGAGCCGAGCCTCCATCCCCATCTGGCATCAGAGACAGAGCAGGGTGATGGGGGCCCTCATGTCAACTGGCCCTCGGTTTCCCCATTCTTGGTGTCAGCTGAGCTTATGGCCACCTGTCAGGGGCCACAGGTTAGCGGCATGTCTACCCAGCCCCCCGAATCTAGCCCTGCAGCCTGAGTGCCAAAACCAGAACCTCAAAACACAGGAAGCACACGTGGATATCGCTGAGCAGGAAAAGACGTGTCAGCTGTGCTCGTGGTCTCCAGCATCACTGTCCACCATTGGCATGTGACAGAGCCGGTAATGGCGGCCGGTCAGCACCAGCCAGTCAGCGTGTGGGTCCTTCTGTCCACGCGGCCTTCAGGCCTGCCTGCGACGTTCACCGCGATCGACCGTTGCTCGGGCCCTAAACAAACTAACGAATTAAAGGAGTGAGATCTGTCAGTGTTCTCGGGCCACGTCGAGCTCGGCTAGACATCGACAGCAAACAGCAGAGAATCTGAACGTTAAATTACCGGCACGCTTCTGAGTCGCCCGTGTGTCACA